GGCAGGTGAGGGTTGTTGATGTGGCTGGCCTTTCAGCCTGGCCACCCATGCCGAAGGCGGCAGAGAAAACCTGTAGCTGGTAGCATCCTTATGCATCGGCTCCAGCGCTTGAGCCTGCTGCGGCTGAAGATTTTGCATTCCATGTTCCTGCTCTATGACTCCTACCACAGAATCACAGTGCGGTCCTTGGATCTCTCTACTGACCTACGTGCCCTGGCCTCAGACATCGTGGACAAATGCAAACTGATCCATCCGTCCAAGGTGAGCGTATGCAGTCTTGGAGCAACTATCCGCAGCACGCTCCATGCAGCAGGGATGTGACAACCGCACAATTATGGCCCCTGCCACGAACGTCCTATCAGACTGATCAGGTGGAGCAACTACTTCAACAGCTGTTGGAACGGCTGCAACGGCCAGCTGCACGCCAGCCAGACGCCAACCGCCAGGCGGCAAATGTCCAGGGTTCAAATGCAGGCGATTGTGATGTTGGGTCCTGTGATAATGTGGCGGGGCATCATGCATCGGCTATAAGCGTGCGCAGCGCGCATCAGGGCCAGCAGCACCAGCAGTCGCAACAGCAGCGGCAGCAGCAGTGGCAGCAGCACCAGCGGCAGCAGCACCACGAACAGCAGCATCAAGAACACCACAAAGTTGAGGCTGGCGCAAAGTCCGTTGTGGTGGATGTGCACGCAACCCCGGTCGCTGCTCTCTTTCAGGTGCGTGCACTGCAGGGTTAAGGTTGCAGCCACTGTTGAATTGTGCTTGGATGCCTGTAGGAGAGCTGTGCAGCCGCAAAATTTGGCTGAGATTATTCGCGCCTGCTCAACTCAGGTCACGCCGCTGGCAAGCTCGCTCCTTGATGTGGTGGATGCTGACATGTCTGAGCTTGAAGGCTACGTGGAAGCGCTGTATGATGATGACATCACCACCAGAGCAGCAGCGGCCACCACTATAGCGGCAATGTTTGGGGATACTGCCAATTTTGAGGTGGGCCATGGCGATCTAAACATTCGGCAACAGCAAGGCCAGGCCACTCGCAGCGCACCATCAGTGGTGGCATCAACAAGTCTGCCTTTCGACTGACGTTTTTGTGGACCCTTTGCAGGCACTGCTTTCTCATTCGTCGCTGCTACCCACATTGGCGCGCCTGCTGCGGGAGGACGGCCGGCGAAGCCTCGAGCTGGCGGGCGCCGTTGCAACTGCCTTCTTCAGCCTCAGCTCCATGCGCCAGCTCCACCGCACGATTGGCGAGCTCCAGGTCGGCGCTCTGCTGCTGGAGCTCTGCCAACTTGAGGTACAACGCACAGCACAGCGCATTGCAGTGGACGGTCTAGTCGCCTCACCAGGCGCACAGGCTGCGCGCTTGGCGGCTGCGGCTGTCGGTCAAGGGCCAAAACTTACCGAGCGGTGAGCTGAAGCTAGGAAGAAAGCATGAATTTCGACAGGTGTGATGTGTTCCCCCGCTTCTGAGCTTCTGGAGCCATGGAGGCTCATGGGATTAAACAGTCGTATAGGAAGCACATGCCGCAAAAGCAATGCTACCTTCATGCACTGCAGCAAAGCGAGCCACATTCTTTGATAAATGATTGTCGTCTATGCCACACATGTGTGTCTGAGGCATCGGCACCTGCGTGCCGGCTTGTTTGCGCAAGCGCAGCCCGCGCCCCGTACCCATCCTGCCCTTCGACTACCCGGGCGGCTCTTCTCACCAACTACCACTGCATTTGCCTGATTGATGCCGGGGCGCCGGCGCACTGCGGGACGCCGCGCCCGCGCGCAACCATTGCAAGTGGGCGCAAGTGCCCTTGGGTCTTGGCGGTTTTTGCCTTGTGTGCAAACGCGCCTGCCTGAGCAAAACAACAAAGCGATTGAGATCTAAACACAGGAAGTGCCCCAACATTCCTGTTGCAATCGACTACATTGCAGGGAGGTGCTAGGTGCTGTGCTGATGCAGCGACAGCTGCGATTCCTACTTCCCGCCATCGGCTTGCTGTCAAACTTGGCCGAGGACCCAGGAGTACAGAGGAAGATGTTGAAACGGGTGAGGCATCCCCCTTCATTGTGGCCTCGCAAATTGCCCCTTGATCGTGGCTTTGCAAACTGTCGGGTGTTGAAGGAGGTTGGAGTATGATTACAGTTGAATGCATTTGTGGGGCTGTGAAAGCATTTGTGTGGGGTGTTGATGTGTTCCGCTCAGTTGTCATGCACACACACATTGTGCGCTGATATGTGCTGGCAGGATTTACCAGTGGCACTGGTAGCCATGTTGGGCCACCCCAGCCTTGAGCTCAACGTTATGTTGCTGGAGCTACTGCGGCGAATGGCGGTATACACAGTGAGCAAGACGTTTGCATCGGGCTGCTGAGATGTTCATACACATTCATGCACACACATTAAGGTCTCTGCCTTGAGGAATCTCACTGATTTTCTAGAGTATGGTGAGGAAACTTTTATGTATGTGCAATACACCTGTGCGCACTCACGGCCACACCAGCGCACACAAACCCATGCAAATGCGCCCGTAAGCGCACATGTGCGGGTGTATGCACGCGTGCGCACACACACACGCACGCACCCACGCGCGCGCGCTCACACACACACACACACACACACACACGCGCGCGCGCGCGCGCGCGCATGCGTGCGCACGCACACGCAACACACATGCGTGCTAACAAACACACACTCAAACTTGCTAAATAGATAACCTTATCCACACGACCACACAAAATCACACCGTGCAGGAGTCCAAAACACGAATGGTTTCGGCTGGTCTGATCCCACGCGTTCTTGTGCTGCTAAAGGCGGCCTCTCCGCCAGCCCTCCAGGGGGCTGCATTGCGCCTTGCAAATAATTTGGCATTCGACACAAGGCTTCGGCGTCAGATGGTGGCTTCTGGCATGGCAGAGCGACTGGCCGAGGTCTTGGCGCAGCCGGCCTGGGCTGGCGGAACACCGTTGTCGTCCAGCCTCCAGGGCGTGGCTGCCCAGCTCCAGCCTCTTGCACTTGGCTTGCTGTACCTGGCAAGCATGGAGGAGCCAGTCCGCATCACAATAGCTACCGGTCAGGTGCTCTGCAGGTGCATTGGGTTGAGGACATGACATCACTCGGGCTGAGGGAGGAGACAGGCATCAACCCAACTAAAAACCTGCAGTGGATCAACTGGGACATGCTAGGTACATTTAGAATCATTGCACCACCAAACACCATTACCATCCACCAGGCTATATGACGGTCTGCTGCGCTCCCCGGACCTGCGCGCTGTCCCCGAGCTGATTGCACTGATGGTCAACCTAACATCGAGCCCAGATGTGTCGGAGGTAAGCGTGTGGTTAGGGTGTGGTGGGTGGGGTTGAAACTTGTGATATCGGCGATAGTCCTACAAGTGTCTATCCTATGGCTTATTCCCAGTTGTGCTCACACACCTGTCCCAGTGGTTCAGTGTTGGCGAGCGCCTGGAGCGCCTTGTCAGCCGAGCCATGCAGGGCGGTGGGGATGAGCTCGCATGTAAGCTGCTGCGCAACCTGGCCATTGCTGGTGGCAGCCACCTGGCTGGCAGGCTGGCTCCTCAAATGCCCGGGTTTGTTAGTCTCCTGCAGGTTGGTGGCCTTCATGAGCATCAACGAAGGAAGATGTTTGGGTTCGAGCACATTGCTGCTACTGGTTGCTTGGGGGTTACTGTGAGCCGCTTTCGTGGGTGCCACGCATGCATATCAAGCCTCTTTTGGACAATGAGCTCGATGGATGCTTAGACTTGTTGACCTTCTCTCCATCAACTTTCCCATCTCGCTATTGTGACAGGATCAGCGTGCCACCCCAGACCTGGCAATTGAAGTGTTGGGGACCGTATCGGCGGTGTACGACGCCGTGCCCTTGTCTCAAGCAGATGGGGATAATGCGGCGTTCGAAGCGGCAGACAACAACCTGGCACTCACCTGGAACGCGCTCCTGAGTGGATGCGATGTCTTCGGCATGCTTGTGTCTATTCTGACAGGCTTATTGGATGATGACGTGCTGCTGGAGGCAGTGTCTCTGGCCAGAGTGCTTGCAGGGCATGCATCCCTGGCACAGCAGCTGGCAGACAGCGGCGTGGTGAGCGGGGCTTCGCGCTTCAAATCACTGGTTGCAGTGGTGAATCTTGCGATGTTCATCGATCTGATGCTGCTACCAATGTACATTGCTTCAATCCTGCCCCATCCTCAACACACGACATGTTTCAAGCTGCCTATTCTGGCAACACTGATGGCTGAGAAGTGTAGGGATGATGAGTTTGTGTTGCAGGTAATGCTGACGCAACGCCTCCCAGGAACTCGTGGGCGACTGAGCTGCATGTGTGCGCTTTCAAGCGACAAGCGGCAATGTAATTGCAGCAGAACCGCATCCCTTTCTTGCTGAGTATGCCTCAACCCGGCACTCCACTTGCTTGCAGGCTGCCTGGGCGCTCGCCAGGGCCTTCTTGCAGCAGCCAACACGCAACGTATTGCTTATGGAGACTCAGGTATCGGCAATGCTTGCAAAATGTCTTCATACGCATTGCAATGCAATCAAACTTCCCGATCTTCAGCTGATGGGACATTGCAGTTTCCAGCCTTCGGCTGATACGGTATGCCGTCGCACTGGCAAACACACAAATTGATTCAACAGGCCGTGCCATACTTGGTTGACCTGCTGGCGGACCCCTCCGCGGCAGTGCGGGCCGCAGCCAGCACTGGGCTTGACGCTGTCATCGACCACGACAACGAGGATGGGTGGGCGCCACGCCTCAGGATGCTGAAGTTTGAGGCACACAACCAGGCGAGGCACGGCTTGATGCGAAGCAAGGTGTTGTGAGAATTCAGCCATGAGGTCCAGGAAACAATAATAGTACACAAGTCTTGCATAGCTGATCTTAGCAATTGCACCTCAAACACTTTGCAGGCATGGCTTTCAATTGTACAGCACCATTTGCCAATAGAATCGTCGATGGGCCAGCAGGGTGGCGATGAAAATGCTGTAGGCAGCACACTTCGGCGGCCTGCCGCGGCCTTGGGCAACCACACAGGCGAGTCGGTGTCAGGCGTTGACAGCAGCGGCAGCACCCTCCAAAGCACCAAAGATCCTGCCGTGGACTACGGCATGTATGCCGCTAGTGGTCAGCAGCTAGTGGTGGACATTGAGGGCTACCAGCACGAAGTGGAGGTACACCACCAGGCGGCATTGCAGGAGGGCGGCGAGACTGCCCCCTCTCGCGAAGATGAGGCGGTGTTTGGCTTTGGTTTTGGGCTTGGCAGCGGCTTGGGCGAGGATCTGGGAAGCGCTGCCCCACCAGACGCATGTTTTGACGGCGGTTGGCGTGCGCCCCAGGAGTTGATGTAGCAACAACATCGTGTAGGGGCATTCTTTTGAATGTGTGTCGATGTTCGTGAGTGATGGTGGCATATTCTTCCGTAATCTCAAGCTGTAAAATTGTGCACATACGCCACCAGAACCTCGCACCTAAGAAGTGTCAGTAGTTACCTTCTTTCGCCTGGTAACTGTAGGCTTACACTCTTGCAGGCTCGGTCAACCGGAGTATAATACCCTGACCCAGTTAATTCGCTGGCATGCCAGTGGCACCAGTCCCTGGCGAATACATGTACAGTTTGAGTTTGGTTTGTACAAGGTCTGCGTCGCATGCCATGAGTGTAGTCGCAGCCCGTTGCACATCGACTACCGAGGCAGCAGCAAGTCCCTCATGCACAAGTACGCATCAATGCAAACCACGTAGCCCCGTAAGCGCGACAGGAAGCGCACTGCGATAACCAATACCTCGTTTCTCTGCGATACCAGCTGACATCGGCCCGTTCAAGGACAGAAATCACACGCACGATCTGCAGCTGAGGACTGGGCGCTTATCTGGACCAATCACACGGTGTTTGAGAATATATTGTTATCGGTTCATCAGTTCCACGTGCCGTAGGGGCTCAGCAGGTGAGATGCCACTGCACGCGGGCCCGCTGACCGCCACGCTCTCCAGCTGCTCGCGTATCATGCGTAGAGTGTTTGACCAGACTCTGTAAACCTTATGGCCTCTTGTCGCATCGTCCTGGTTCTTCTCTCCCGTGGGACGTTCGGGTCTTATCCATCAGGACGCCGCATACATGCGGGTTACGCTGTCTTTGTGCGCTCAATAATTTGTGTTGGACAGTCGCGCGTACGGACCTTCGGTGATGGAGGCCCCGTGCCATCAACGCCCATGCGGACCTGCACACGCTGCTGTGCCCATGGTCCTGCTGCCGCAGCAGGTACAGATGGCGTCTGCATCGACAGGTCGGCCGCGGCTCCAAGAGGTGGCATGAAGCGCAGCTTTCTTGGATCCTCCGGGGCTGTACAGCCGAGTGGGGACGTCGCCACTGCCGCCGCTGACGCGTTGACCGCAGACTCCGAGGACTTTAAAGGGGCAGTGGCCACCACCAAGCCCAGAACCAGGACGAGCGATACGATCACACCCCTACTTGCCACGTTGGCAGCAGAGCTGCAGCCTGTGCCGGGCAATGAACCCGTGCCGGCAGGTGCCAAGTGCAACCTAGGCGACGTGCCCGCCGCAGCTCCGACCCCTTGCTCAAGTACCGCCCCGCAGGCGAGTTTGGCAGAGGAGGAGTCATTTTGCAAGAGGCCTATGACAGAGGAATCTCGGGTGTTGTGGCCCCTACCTGCTGCAGTTGCTTGCCTCGTGACGCATTGCTGCCTTCGCTTCTCACCCCTCGCCCTCCAGGCCTGCTCGCCTGGGGTGGGGGCCTGTGCTGACGCTTGGGACTCCTACGTGTGCTGCACGTGGGGCACCCAGCTGGAGGCGACTCTGGGTGCAGACTGGCGCGAGTGCTATGGGCACGACACAAGTAGTGCTCTCCTCTTTTGGGCCCTACAGCAGCAGTACAAGCAGCCGGCCGCACTCGGCTGTGCCAGCAACGGCAGCCACAGGTCAGGGCACGCCCCCATGCTGATGAAATCGCTCCAGTCACCGGGCTGCACGGACACCACAGCGTACGTGTTGCCCCTGACAGCGGCCCAGGTCTTGGCGGCAATGTCGCCAGCTGCGCAAGCAAGTCTTGCAATGGACGGCCGGCAGCAGGAGCGGCAGCAGCAGTGGCAGCAGCAGCGGCCACAGCAGCGGCAGCAGCAGCGGCAGCAGCCGCAGCAGCAGCAGCAGCAGCAGCAGCAGCAGCAGCAGCAACCTTTGGACCCCGGCACAAACCTGGAGACAGCTGAAGGTGGTGCCACCGGCATGTGCAGATGCTGTGGGCCAGCATGGCAGCAGCAGCAGGTGGCGGCGATCCCCCCTTCGGGCTGTCCACCTGCAGAGCCAGATTTGCTGCCACTTGTGACGGTGGCAGCCTTGGCGACAGGAATTGACAGCAGCAGCAGTCCTCTGCTAGGCAGCCCCATCAAGCGCAAAGTGCGGGCTGCACGCACACGAATGGCCCGTGCACACATCATCAGCGACGGCGACAACGCAGCTCACTCACCGCTGTTGACGGCAGTGGCGCCGGAGGACTGCCCCTGTGCAGATGCACCGGCTGCTGCTGTGGAGGACCCTGAGGCTCCGCCGTCGCTGGCTGTGGTACTGGATTCTGCGAGCGCCCCGTGCACAGTCGGGGCAGTAAACCCGGCCCCAACCGCGGGCTGCACTACCAGTAGCAGCACAAAAGGAGCCGGTGCAGTTGTGTCACAAACAACCTCATTGTTGGGGTCGCAGGCACCACCCCAGCAGCGGCAACAGCAGCAGGACCAGCCGGAGCAGCAGGTGCTGCTGCTTCAGCAGCACAGACTCACACGCGTAAGCAGCGCCGATGGTGGCGACGGCAGCAGCAGCAGCAGGGGTGCTGCGGTAATCCGTGACTACCTGGAAGAGGCCTTTGACCTCATGCAGCAGCTGCAAGCAGAGCTGGAGGCAAGGCTGGTGGGGTCAACAGGCAGCAGCGGCAGAAGCAGCAAAGGGAGCAGTTGCAAGTGTGCCAGTAGCAACGGCGCTGCTTGCAGCGCCAGCCCTGGTTCCAGGCAGAGTCCAGGGCGTTGTACGTTTGCGCCCTCGCATGTGGCGGCCGCAAACCCGGTTCCGCCCTGCGCCAAGGCCCAGGGTGGGATTCAGCCTGCTACGGGCAGCAGCATGCTTGTATCCTCGGCCGAGCAGCAGGTGCAGCTGCTCAACCTCACATCGGTTTCACAGACTGCCAGCACAGCAGTCACGACCCAGTCAGGGCTGGCAGCAGGCAGCACCACTGCACCAGCTGGTGTCCAGCTGGTGTTGCCAAAGGGGGAGGGGCTTGCCGTCCCCCATTCTGGCGCAGCTGGGCAAGGCAATGCCAAGAAAGAGGGTACAACACATGCCGGTGCTGCTGGGTGCGCAGCCGCTGATGGTGCCACATCCAGCAGTGGGATGGCTGGCAGCTCCACAGCAGGTGCTTTAGCCCTGTTAGATGCACTGTCCAGCCTGCTGTCAGCTGCTGCAGCTGCTGCGCCACAGCGACAGGCCCAGGACACGGCAGCCTCGTGCTGGATACCGAAGGCCAGCAGCAGTGACAGCACCGATCACAACGCCAAGGTGGCGGCAGCCGCGGTTGGCCACCAAGACGACGAGATGCACAGTCAGGGCGACGCCACCAACAGCAGGCGTGCGGGCAAGGTCAGCAGGAGAAGCAGCGTGGGAGTCTTGCTGGACGCCAGCCACCCACAGGGCGTGAGCCCCGTGCACGTCGCCGCCGCAGCTGGGCGTGCTGACGTGATCGAGCGCCTCATGCTGATTGGGTGCGACCCAAATCAGCGGTCCTGGATTGACTTGCCGCTCTCTGAGGCGCTACAGGGCGCCTTGTCAGGCGACTGCGTGGCCAACATCAAAGGCCTGAGCACTGGCAGCAGCGGCGACAGCCACGCAAGTGGCCGTTTCAGCATGATCAGCAGCGATGGCAGTGGGCGAGGCTGCGGAGCATTCCCAGGATCAGTGGAAACTCAGCCGGTGCCATGCCCGCTGCTGCTGCCGGCAGACGCACTGCATGGTGACGCGCTGCTGAGCGGCGGGGTGCCGCTCGCCGCCGGGGTTACGCCTCTCCAGGTGGCAGCTGCAGCTGGCCATGTAGCAGCTGTTGAGGCACTTCTATGCGCCTCTGGGACAGACGTCAACTCGCGCACTGCCCAGGGTCTCACCGCACTGCACCTGGCTGCACATTTCGGTCACGCAGGTGGGGAAATAGAGCTCGTGTGAGGTTTTTCCTCTCCAGGTTGTATCTGTGTTTATGTGTCTGTTTCTGATTCTCTGCTCTGCACATCAAGCCACTGCTGCTGCTGCAATCTATGACGCTGCCGCATTTACCGACACACACCACCACAGCGGTCGTGGCCGTGCTTGTGCGTTCAGTCGGCGTGGACATCAACGCCCGTGACTGGTCGTGGTCAACACCACTGCATCACGCTGCTGCTGCCGGTCATGGATCAGTGGTAGAAGTGTTGTGGCCGCGGCGCGTGGAGTTTGATGCGGCAGATGCTGCTGGCCGCACAGCGCTGCACCTGGCGTCGGCAGGGGCAGGCAGGAGCGAGGCTCTGGAGGTTGTCAGCAAGCTGATCATCGCTGGCTGCAACGTCAGCGCCACTGACGCCGCAGGTTTCACAGCGGGCCACCTGGCGGCCTTCAACGGTGAGCTGACGAGGAGAAGTCAATGAATGCACCTGCGGGCGATGGGCTAGGAGCTACATGGTGGCCTGAGCAGACTGGTGTGCATATTTGCACTGCCATATTGCTGTGTTTGACTTTGCCAGCCTACAACCCCACCAATCGCTTGCCACTTCATGCACCAGGCCATATTATGGTTCTGGAAAAGCTACTGCTGGCAGGGTGGGACATGGAGCGCCGCGCGTTTCCAGAACCTGGCCTGCGCAAATCCAGCAACGCATCGTTCGGGACCTTCTTGGCACCTATGCCTGGGGTGAACACAAACCACAGCAGCAGTGGCCAAGTCCGGCCTAGTATTGGGCATACATTCAACCCATTGCTCCTAGCGTCGGGTCCCGGACCACAGCCTCGCAGCTGGGCCCCCGACCCAGGCGTACTGGACACACAGGGTTCAACAGCACTGCTGCTTGCGGCCGCAGCTTGCGAGCAGCACGCCTGCGTGAGCTGGCTCCTCAGCAGCGGTGCAAGGCGTGACGCAGTCGACGGCCGCGGTGCTGGACCATTGATGATTGCGGCGGCGGCAGGGCGATGGGACGCCTTCGGTGTGCTGCTGCCGCTGGATGACGAGGGCCGCCTGGACGCAGGGCGGCCCGAGCTGCATGCCACCGACTCCACTGGGCGCTCGCTGTTGCACGCCGCAGCGTACGGCGGCTCTCGCCGTATGCTGCAGCTACTGGCAGACGCCGCCTTTGACCCCGCGGCTGTGCTGCCAAGCAACGATGGCCGCACCTGCCTGCACTATGCAGCGGCTGGGGCAGGCAGCCGCGGCGCTTGCGAGCTGCTGCTGGCTGCGGGGTGTCGAGCTGACCAGCCTGACTCATTTGGCCTTCTGCCATGGCACCTTGCAGCGCAGCAGGTGAGGGGTTGGAGGACTGCAACTGTGTCATCTGGCTCAGTGCTTTTGTGCCAGATGTTGCGCGGTCATGTATTTATTGAGGCCTGGTTTGTCGCCTTGAATCCAACAATCGTGCTGCCACAACCTTTTCAAAGATGTATTGTGTTGAAATTGTTGGCTGTGCTTTTTCCTCCGCTCTTTTTGGATCAGGGCCACGTGGAGCTGCTCCAGCTGCTTCTGGCGAACGGGGCCGACCCTGGCTGTGCAGATGGCGAGGGTCGTACTGCATTGCACCTCACAGCTGCAGGGAACTTTGAGCAGGCTCTCAGACTGGTGCTTGAGCATGGCGCGCCCCTGAACACGCGCACCAGCGCTGGCGTCACCCCTCTGCAATGTGCTGCTATCGCGGGTGCGGCAAGCGCTTTGCGGGTCTTGGTCAATGCAGGGGCCGCAGTCAACAACCAGGTGTGTGGGGCTGATGTATATATCTCAAGATTGATGGGCATGGATAGCACAGAAAACTGCCTCTGGGTGCTCTGGTGCCTCTGTTGCCAAGGTTTTGGAACTGGTGGTGGAGAGCTGTGCACCTCACTCTTTCCTTCATCGTGCCGTGCGGTTGCTTGCTTTGCAAGGATGCACGTGGGTGGTCTGCCCTGCACTATGCCGCCACATGCGGCGATGAGGTGACGGCAAAGATCCTGGTTGATGCTGGAGCCGCGTTTGATTGCGCCTCTGAGCTGGAGGGGTGGACGCCGCTCGCCGTGGCTGTAGGCAGCGGCAGCACAGCTGTCGTGCAGCTGTTGCTGAATGCTGGCGCCCAGGTGCGAGGGCTCAATGCACTGAGGGTGTGCAGGGATCCACATGCATCCCGCACGCACTTTTGCCCACACAGCTTCCTCCCACGCGGCTACCTCGCGACATTTTTCCTGAGGAATGTGGTTGACCCCCTTGTAGGCCGAGCTGCCGGACAAGCGGGGCCTGACCCCACTCCACCACGCCGCGGTGCGCGGCGACAGCAGTATGTTCGGTCTCCTGTTGCGCGGTACCCCCTGGGCCTCAGCACACCCCTGCCTTGCGACAGCCAGTCCTCGGGCTGCCCTACGCCCTGCGGAGGCTGAAACCGGTGATCAGCATGAGGAGCAGCCCTGCAAGCGGCCCAAGGCTCAGCAAGAGCTACAGTGCAGGCCGCCTCTGCCTTCACAGCCGCCCCAGCGAGCCAGCGCAGGCGCCGCGAACCCCCGTGGATCCCTGTTTGTGCGGCGGCTGCTGCATTGCGCCGCGTACGGCGGGGACCCTTGCATTGTGGAACAACTGCTGCAAGGCGGCGCCGCAGCCCAAGACTGCGTGCCTGAACAGACAGGGCCGATTACAGCAGAGGCGGTTGCTGCGGATGACAGCGCCACGGCGCTGCACGTGGCGGTCCTCCAAGGGCACGTGCATGTGACAGCCCTGCTGCTGCAGCGTGGCTACGACGCAGGGCTGCCTGGACCTCACGGCCTTACCCCACTCCACTTGGCGGCTCTGGGCAGCGTGCAAACGTCGTCGAAGCGCCATGCCGCCGCCTTTGATGGTAGGCCGCATGCCCAACCGCCTGCGTCGTTCGGCGGTGGCGACATTGTGGGGTGGCTCTGGCACCCCTGTCAGCAGCCAGGCTCGGCCCAAGCAGGAGGGCCTGCCAAGCCAAGCCAGGCGGCAGTTCAGTTTGGGGGCAGCCTAGAGCAGCAGAGGCAGCAGCAGCAGCAGCAGCAGCAGCAGCAGCAGGACAGGGATCAGCAGCAGCCGGACTCACTGCATCAACAGCCGGCCCCACGGCGGAGTTATGAGGAGGTGTGTCAGGCCCTTGTGGCGGCGGGAGCTGATGTTCTAGCTCGAGACAACGATGGTCGGTCAATTGCTATGTGTGCTGCAGGTGAGGGACAAACGCGACTTTGCTCTCATGAAAGAGATACCAGCGGCGCCTTCAACTCATGCGCCAGCTGGGTTATGTGCAGGAGTTTGAGGTGCTGCAGGGGCAGCCGCGCCTGTGCACAACCACAATTCAGTTGCTCTTCCTCAATCCTCACCTGCAGGCGCAGGCAATCTATGGCTGTTGGAGCTGTGCCTGGCCAAGGGTGCGGCAGCTGGAGCAGCAGATGCCTGTGGCTGGACCGCGCTGCACTGGGCAGCCGCTAATGGGCATTCGAGCGCTGCGCGGCGGCTGGTGGAGGCGCAGCCCCAAGCTGTACTCGGGGCAGCCAACATGCAGGCCAAACAGCAGCAGCCTTCAGTAGGCGAGGTTGGCAGTGGAGTTGGGGCGCGCGACTGTTTGGGCCGCATCCCGCTGCACTGGGCGGCGCTGGCAGGCCACCACGACGCTGCGTGTGTGCTGGTGGGGGCGATGCAAGCTGCACAGCTTGGGCTGCACGTGAAGGACTGCGCGGGGGTGACGCCAACACAGCTGGCAGCCAGCAGGCAGCACGTGCGGTTGGTGACGCTGCTGCTGGAGGCGGCATACAGTGGCCCGCACTCTGCATTGGGTGGGGAGTCGGAGTCGCAGCTGCCAGGCACCACAGTTGCCACGGGCCAACCGCAAGCCGGGATGCTGTGTGCAGGGCATGGCCTGACGGCGCTGCACCTGGCGGCTCAAAACGGTCTAGACACGGTGCGAGGGCCTCGCAACTCTTGAAAGCCTGTGTGGTGAGACCGTTCCGTCACGCTGTTACTACAACGCCCAAGCCTCAACTTAGCATTTTTCTGCCTGCTTGAATGCTGCCGCCACAAACACTTACCTTAACACGATCTCAAGCGGCCTGGCCACATCAACGCCGCAGGTTGTGGCGCAGCTGCTTGAGGTGCCGACCTGTGACGTCTCCTTGCAGGACGCCGACGGCAATACTGCACTGCACTGGGGAGCTGCTGCAGGCTCCGCGCTCGTATGCCGACGGCTCCTAGACGCTGGTGCCAGCCCCGTGGCCACCGCCCTGGACGGCAGCACGCCTCTGCACCGGGTCGGGGCGTGTGCCGAGGTGGCACGCGTCCTCCTGGCAGCTGGGGCGGTGGCAGCAGCCGCGGCTGCCAACGGCAACACCGCCCTGCACAATGCGGCTCAGGCCGGCTTCGTAGAGGTGGTCCTCGTGCTGCTGGAAGCCGGGTGCCCTGTGGATTTGCTTAACACGGCAGGCTGCACAGCGTTGTACCTGGCCGCAGCGGCCGGCCACGAGGCCGCTGTGCGCACACTGCTTGGCGGCGGCGCTGACCCCGACATCCCCACCCCTGCCAGCGGCAATACCGCTATTCATGCGGCCGTGATTGGCGGCCATGACGCTGCAGTGGCAGCGCTACTCAGCGGCCAGGCCGATCTTGGCGCACTTAACGGCGCTGGAAACAGTGCTGTCAACCTTGCTGCGGCTAAGGGGGCAGTGGATTTGATTGGTATGCTGGCAGGTAGGTCGTCAATTTACACTTCCAAGTTACAAATCCAATCACCAGCACCCGCGCAATGTGCCGCTCTCACGCAGTGTGCCAGCTGGACAGCAGTGCAAGTTGGTGCATGTGCAGGGAAGGGCAACAGCATGGCACGGCCCCAACCTGCCTTCAGCTCAAAGCCAGTTGCACATTGTTGTCAGCAGGACTTTGCTCAACGTGGGTCAAAACATCCCCTCCTGCCCGTCACTTGCCAATCCTCAGCTGCGGGCGCCGATCTCCAGGCGCGCAACCTCAAGTCCTGGGCGCCCATTCACAGTGCGGCCAACGGGGGGCACTTGGAGGCCGCACTGCGCCTGGTGCTAGCAGGTGCAAGCTGGCGGCCAGGCAGAGGGGCTGGCGCCGCTGATGCCGATGTTGTCAAGCTGCTTGTGCGCAAGGGTGGCTTCAAGGTGAGCGTGGCTTTGATTCGATGAGGTGGGCCGCCTGGGGTTGAGCCCGCACCATGAGGGCAGATTGCGCCAACTATGATCCTCTCTCAGCCGCCTTGTGCTGCGCTGGACGCCCCCCCCCTCCTCGCACGCGTCCATCCAGAATCCCATGCTCCCCACCCCTTAACATAGTCAAGCTACCTGGAGGGCCGCTTCAAGATGGCAGAACGCGATCGCCATCGCGCCCTCCGTACGGCACCAACCAGCACCGCCGCCGTCCCAGGCGCGGGCGGCACCGCTATCAGCGTCAGCAGCACTGGCAAAACCAGTGGTGTCCCCGCCAGTGGATCTGCTGCGGTGGCCGCGGCGGACGCAGCGATGGCCAGCCTGCTGGAGGAAGAGGCCGCTGCGGCCGCAGCACACGAGGCGGCGGCTGAGAGAAAGAAGGCCAAGAAGAAGGCCAAGAAGGGCAAATCGAAGAAAGGTGGGTGCCCCTCGTTTTTTGCGCACACTGTCTGAGTCGTGCATCACCTGTCGCTCAAATTCTAGTGCTTGCACATCCTTTTTCTCACTTCATCTGGGACTCTAAATTGATGCTTCTCACTGCACCTAACATTAAAACCGCATCGCATCAGGCAAGGAGGACGCGGCGGGCGAGGATGAGGCCTGTGCGGAGTCTGAGGTGGAAGCGGGGCGTGGGCTCAGCGCCAGCACCTGCGCGCCCCCAGCAGCCTGTGCAGAGAGGGAGACCCATGACGACGAGGCAGCTTCAGACCAGCAGCGTGTGTCATCCGGGGAGGGCAGCAGCAGTGGCAGCGACTGCGGCAGCTCAGCCTCCAGCGTCAGGGCTGCAGCTGCATTGGCGACAACCTCAGCAACTAGAATAGCAAGTCGATCAGGGAGGCTGCAGGGGGCAGCTGCTGGCATCAGAGTGGTGGCCATTGCCCGTGGCAGCACCCTGGCAGATTCTAGTAGCAAGCTGACCAAACAGAGGGAGAAGCAGCAGCTCAGGGACAGGGAGGAGCAGCAGCAGCAGCAACACCACCAGCAGCATCAGCAGATTCGGCAGCAGGCGAGGCAGTCGCCTCAGCCTGCGTTGCCTCTGGTCCTTTCTGCAGGCCCGGCCACGGCGTGCAAGAAAGCCAGCGCGGCCACCGACGCTCAAAGGTATGTGCAGCAGCAGCAGCAGCAGCAGCAGCAGCAGCAGCAGCAGCAGCAGCAGCAGCAGCAGCAGCAAGAACAGAAGCACCAGCTGCACATGGTAGCTGAGCCCAGCGGCGTGACCGGCGTTCCAGAGACCGAGATGAGCCCTTGCGTTCTCTTTGCCACAAAAGGCGGGGCACAGGCGGGCAGCAGACCACAGCCGGACACCCTCCAGTCCACTGCACAGAATACCTCGACAATGCAGCAGGCTCTTCTTCCAAAGCAGCAGCAGCAGCAGCAGCAGCAGCAGCAGCAGCACCCGGCCACACCTGCGCAGCGGCCAGAGCCGCAAACACTCACATACCCGCATGCGCCATCTGAACTCTGGCTGGATGGTGGGGCAAAGTCGGCGCAGACGCTGGCGCAACCGCTGGCGCAGACGCCAGTACCACATGCAAGGGAGGTGGCGGCCAGCAGCGCTGCGCCACTAGCCATGATTGCAGGAGTGGGTGCAGAGCCGACTGGCCTGAGGCGGGGCAGGCTGGTACCTGGAGCCTCAGGGTTGCACGCAGCTGCCATCACATGCCCACATACTGTGTCGACTGCCACGAGCTCCAGTGGGCAGAGCCAGCGGCAGCTGCAGCACCCTCAGCCACGGCATTTTGAGGGAGGCTTTGCAGCCCCGTCGAGCTCAGGGCTCCAGCCCGCAGGACCCCGAGTCTCGTGCACCGCACCAGCGGCCCCGCCTTCTCCGGCGCAGTGGCACCCTATCTTGACGCGTGCTCCAGCGTGCGGCCTACCGCGAGTGGCACCTCCGTTTTCCCCAGGCCCATCGCCGATTGAAGCAGTGTGCCACGGCACTGTGGGCCTGTCTGCCAGCGGCAACTTCAGCCCCGCCCGCCCCAGCCTTGGCCCAGCGGGCTTCCCTGCCGCAGGCATGTCACCGCCGCTTGTGGGAATCGCCTTTCCGTTGCCACCCGGCAGCAGCCCGATGGTGTGCAGCCCAGGCACAGCGGGCGCCGCTGGCTCGCACGAGCCGCAGCCCAAATGGCCAGACATGGCCGGCCCTGCCCATGGGTGGGGCTGCTCCACGTCGCTGCCGCAGCACCTGCCCTCCAACCTCGGCCCGCACGCCATGAGCCAGCAGCAAGGACTTGGGTTCGGGCTGGCAAGAGTGGCACCTGTCCGGCCGCGCCAAATGCCCCTGGGCCAGCAGCTGGTGCATCTACAGCACGGGTGGCGCGGCGGTGCGGGCGCCCATTCCACCGGCAGCAGCGGGCCCAGCTCGCCGCTCCACCTGGTGGGCTCGCTCGACGGCGGTAGCGGCAGTGGCGGGGATGGCGGGCCATTTAGGCAGGGATCATTGTGTGAGGGTGAGGACCGGGAGGCTCTGGACGACGCCGCCGCTGCAGGCACTGCCCTTGCAGCAGCGGGCTCCCTTGACGATGGGTGGCGGGCTGACCCGGGGGCGCTGTTCCGCAGCGGATCGGCCGGCACGCTCATCATCGGTGGCGGCGGGAATGTCGGCGGCAGTGGTGGCGCCGGCATACCAGGAGGTGCAGGCAGCATTAGCGCTCCAGGCAGCGCGACCGCGGCACCGGGCAATGCCGCGCGGCTGATTCCTGGCGGCGTCAGCATTTGGTCATACCAGCCTGCGGATGCCGGGAAGCCTGGCGGCCTGGGCCTGGGCACCAGCCCTGTCGCCCGCGTGCTGTTCCCACAGGGTGGGGCGGCCAGCGTGGATTCACAGCCGCCGTGTGCAGGCTTTGGCGGCGGGAAGGGCGCGCCGCAGACAGCGCTGCCGGACGGGCTGGAAGACCCGGCGGTGCAGAGGCGCAGCGGCTGCACTGCGGCTCAGCTGTTGCCCACTGAGGGCGAGCTGCTGATGGCGATGGCCGCCGCCGAGGCGCAGGAGGTGGTTACATCACGCAAGTTCTTTTGAGGCATTGGCTTCTCACGCGCGCTGGGTTAATCCGGCACACCAACAAGGCACACGCACCTTGTGTACTGCGCATGCACCGCCGCAAGGTGGCCGGCGCAGCATTTAGTTACTTGGATCACGGCTGCCTTTCTTGTCAGTGCGCCACCTTTCTTCTTCTCTCATCCTTTGAACGACTGGCAACATGCACACATCACTAGGGTGCGAGAGTCAATGCACAGTATCGAGGGTAACTTGCTGTTTGCTGGCCGATGACTGTAGCTGCTTGTTGTGTCAATTGGAATCCACAACATATGTATAGGGCAACAAAGAGCGGGGTCGCGGGGGACGTTTGTGAGCAAGTGCGTCTCCTGAGACACCGGCCTGTGCGCCGAGACAAGGCTGGGATGTGGGTGTTCACCTGGTTGAGTTTTGAGCACCACGCCCACCCAATACGGCCACGCACGCATCGGTGTACGCGAAGATTTTCATTTTTCTACCGTACAACGCGTGTTGACGTGCTCGGGTAACAGTTTTCCGCAGCTGATTGCAGTTTCGTGCAGTGATCTGCAGTGGTGACATGGTGTAAACAAATATAGCATCGCCACGTCACCACCTTATAAGCTGTCCGCGCGTTTACCTGAACAACCCATTCTTTTGAAGGAAGATCGCTTGACCCAGCTGGGAGAGTTGCGGGTGGGGGTGGGCTCCGTCTACCACACTCGCGCCGTGGTGTTTGATTAGCGTTGCGCATGTCGCGGTCGCTTGCATACTATTGATACTATTGAGGATTCCCAGTCTGATTCCTTGCGCTTAGGCGCGTCTACTCCAGCGCGCCGACACACCAACTCACCGGCATGGATGGCGTGGAGGCGGCGTGCAGCATGGAGGTCGCCATGCAAGAGCTGCTGCCAGATCCCGTGCTGGAGGTGCGTGATACACATAGCAACGCAGGGGGCGCTTCTCAGCCGCTTGCCTGATGCCCATCCCAATCTCAACGCATGCCGCTGCAGAACGTGGGACGGCACCTGCCGCTGAATGGCATGCGCACCTGCCGCCTCGTGTGCAAGCGCTGGGCGGCGGTGATTGGCGAGAGCGTGACGGCTGTGGGCATCACTCCGGAGCAGCTGCGCGCCATCGTGCTGAGCGATGACGCGACACAGGGTTACGTCCTGGGGGGCGGGCCCGACACAGACAGCGAGGGCGAGGGGTGCAGGGGGCCCGCAGGCAACGGCGGCCAGGACCCCAACGCCAGCGACGTTACAGGGGCTGAGAGGACCCGCGGGCTGCTGGAGGGGGTGCACGGCGTGGCAGGCAGCACCACGGGCGGCACCAGCGTTGTTGGGCACGCGCACCACTCTGCTGCAGCTATGCGGAAATTGCGGCTAAGGTCGCGGCGGCTGGCCCGAGCATTCCCGCGAGCCCACACGTGTGTGGTGCACGTCGATGTCGGGTGCGTGGGCGGGCCTGCACCGGCTGGCCGCCCTGCCTGAGGACGGCACAGCGTTGCAGTTGGCGGCGGATGTGCCTTGTGCTGTGCCGGTGGGCCCTTGTTTTCTTGCGCTGCTGGTCCAAACCTGCCAACCCAGTGCACTTGCGTGAGGCTCGTCCTTCACAGCACCCAGGAACCCTCCTCTCCTCTGCTCTTCCCCTTCCTCCAGCTACGGGGACCACGCTGCGCCCGATCCTCAGGAGGCAGCATCACGCCTGGCGGCGCTGCTGGGGGGCCTGCCCAACCTGGCGCGCATCAGGTGGTCGCGGCTCCGCTGGGAATGGGGCCTCTCGGCAAAGCTGAACCCTGTCCACATCATCACGCATCTGACTTACATTTGCTGCTGGATGCTGCCAACAGGTTGGCTGTAAAGGCTCTGGGAGCAGATGACGCAGAGCTTGTCGAGCCCGAGGTTGGCGGGCCGGACTGACCTCAAGCGAGCAACTTGACTGGCGGGCAGGGAAATGTCAGGGGGGAGGCAGGTCGTTGGCACACTGCGTGCTCCAAGGCCCACAGTCTCACGCTTTGACCCAGGGGCTGCTCCCCAGCCTTTGCGTCATGGACGTCACCTGGCATGCGCTATCAGCTGTCCCTCTTGCGGCCCCGAACTCGCCTTCCCACTTCCGACACAAACACACACGCATCCATACACACACGCACACCCTGCAGGAGGTCATGGACATGGACTATTGCTTTACCTACACGCTCCGCCTTCTGCAGCACCTGCTGCTCAGGACACCGCCTGAAGAGGCGCATGCCCTGGCGCCCACAGCAATGGCGCTGCGGCGGCGGAGGGCCATGCTGCCGGGGGTACCCTGGCCCCCTGGCGAACGCCACGGCCATCTTTCAGGGGAGCTGCAGCTCGTCCTGCAGGACCAACAGCCTCACAGGCAGCGGCAGCTTCAGCAGCACGCGCAGACAGCGCCCCTGCCTCGCCGGCTGACCTGCGCTCCGTGCTGGGTGCTTGAGCTGCACCTGGGCGCCCTGCCGGCTGACCCTGCGGCGTGGGGTGACCTGGCAGTGCTGCCACAGCTGGCGACGCTGCTGCTGCCCAGCCCGAGGCCGCGCCTGCCGGCCGCCGCGCTGCCGCACCTGGGACTCCTGGCAAGCCTGCGGGCCCTGCAGCTCAGCGTGGCAGGGGCGGCGGCGGCGGGTGGCGTCGGGCTGCTGGCGGGCCCGGGCATGGCGGTGGCGGGCTACCCTGAGGATGTGGTTGCGGAGCGGGTGGCGGCGCTGTCGGCGCTGACGGGCCTCACGCACCTCGGCTTGCACGGCAACGCGTTGCCCACGCGCTCCCTCAGCCGTGCCCTCGGGGCCCTCACCAATCTCAGGGACCTGTTTGTGGCGGGTGGGCGGCTGAGGCGTGCGTGGGATCCATGGGCTGGCGGCACACAGAGGTCTCACCAACTTCGCGTAGCGTTTTAGAACCAAGTGCTGCTGCTGCTGCCGCCGCAGGTGTGGTCGCTTCATACATGCACTCGTGCCTCAGTCCGCCCTCCACTGCCTCATCTTCACTCGTTCCCCACGCTCCCACCAAAAAACCTCGTGCCAGGTGCTGTGGTGGTGGACATAGAGGCACTTGCGCGGCCCGAGGGCCTCACTGCCCTGGAGCGCCTGGCAGTGCCCCAGCAGCTGCTGCTCTGGGAGGTGGAGCTGCTGGCGCAGCACTGCAGGTGGTCACCAGAATTACTCGCAGCGCTGAGAGCTTGGGAGGGGTATGCCGCTCATCCCTTTGGCACGGGCAGCGTCCTTTGTGTCTTTGAGGGGTCGGTCATTCCCGCCGCCCTTCGCCAGTGCCAACACGCCCCCACTTACGCCGCTCGTTCCACGCGCGCCATCCCGTCATCCGGCAACCTCCAGGCGGCTGCGCCACCTGGAGATGTGTGGGACGTGGGAGGGCTGCGCCCTGGAGGGCGGGGACGACGGCCCCGTCTCCAGCCTGCTCCCACCGCAGGCGGCAGGCGGCGCAGATGCAGCAGCAGGAGACATGCTGGGTGCTGTCGCGCCAGTGGCGGGGCCCTGGGGTCTCATTGGCGGGGCTGCCGATCATGCTGGCACTGGTGGCGAAGAACGGGGGCAAGGCGTTCACGTTGCTGGTGCAGGGGCGTGGCATGCCACCCCTGCCATTCCTGCCTGGCTCTGGCAGGAGCTGTCATCAGTATCCTCATGGCAGCAGCTGCTGTGCGATGGCTGGGAGGCCCTGCAATGCCCTGGGGGGCTTGACGCTGCGGCGCTGCCACGGGACCTGGCGCGTATCCTGGGCGTAGCGGGCGCGGCACGTGTGCACAGGCGCAGCGCTGCCACCAACAAACGTGTGTCATCAGTCGTGCAGCTGTGTGTGCTGCTTGGCCTGCACCGCGCGCTGCACATCGGCCATGCCCCAGATTCACTGGCTCCAGGCGTGGAGCAGGCGGCGCTGTCTGGCATTAGGTGTGGGATCCGGGGCTGCGCGTGCGTGCAGTTGGGGGGCCTCGAAACAGGCACCGTCCCGGTTTTGCCGCAAATCTTCTGCCGTTGTGGCCGTTAGGTTTTCAGTGTCGTTGCCACGCAAGGGTGGAACACTGAGCCTCCTCAGCCTGCACCCTTGATTGATGCCGCGCCTGCCCTCCCCCATCCCCCATCCCCCATCCCCCAGGCTCCGCAGTGTCGGCCATCAGGGGTGCACCGTCTCTGGTATCGCGCTGCTGGCTGCTGTCCTTGACAGCTGTCGGAGGGTGGCGGGCTATGACCCCGGCGACGTCCTGGCCCTGGAGGGTGACGTGCCCGCGGGTAGGGATATGGGGGAGCTTGCAGGCATAGGGGGATGGGTGTTGGGAGCGCCGTGTTGGTTGCTCAATGTGTGACAGGGTAGGGTCAGCAGCGCGTCGCAAGTGAGAGGCGGGCAGCCACTAAATGGCGGCCTGCTGGCGAGACATCAGTGTCACGTTTCATGCAGGTGGTTAATTTCCCGCTCACCCCCTCCACACAACCCCTCTCACCGCCCCACACCTCCCTCAAGGCGCTGTGGACCAGCTGCTGGATGAGGCCTACTCCAACCAGTTCCCTGAGCCAGAGTGTGCAGGGCTGGACGACGGCAGCGACGGCAGCGACAGTGACGACGACGCCTGCTACACCATACAGCGTGGAGAGGGGCAGCACGAGACCGAGGAGTCGGGCGTCAGCGGCGCGGCTGAGGGGCACAAGTCGCTTTTCGACCGCCTGCAGAACCGCCCGCTGCGCTCGCGTCCGCGCGGCGTGACGAGCGTGTTCACGTGGGCTGGCAACGGCTGCTGCTTGGGGCCTCTAGGGTCCCTGCTGCCTGAGCTGCGTCACCTGAACGTGGCGCTGCCGCCGTCGCTGGCAGGACTGGTGCTGCAGGAGGACGCTGGCGGCGTGGACGGCCTGCCAGAGGCCGCCATCAGCTTCACGAACGCGCCCTGCATGGGGCCAGTTGCGACAGAGGTAGAAGGGACGGATCGTCACCAGCAGCTGGAGCTCAGGGACGTGCAGTCTGCTGACGGCAGTGAAGGCGAGGCACGCGGTGATGCCGCCGTGCACAGCGTCGCGGGAATTTCGTCAGCGGCCACGCTGCCTCGCGCGCAACATTTTGTGTCGCTGCGACACCTGAGCATTGGCAACCTCACAGCTGAGACGAGCCAGTGGGACCCGTCGGCGCGCCTGGGTGACGCGCTGATGGCCGCGATTGGGGAGGGTCTTCCTTCCCTGGAGACGCTGCAGGTCGGCGAAAGGGGGGAAGTGCTGCTTTATGTGCATGTTGTGGATTACCGGTGCAGTATGCCATTTGAGCTGATGCAGCCCAGGTCTCAATCATCAGGCATTGCTTTGCTTTTGTCAACCCCCCCGCCCACCCCCCCAATG